CTGCTTGCAGCTGGGGGCCCCGCGGGGCCGGAGCCCGGGGAGGAGCCGCCCCGGCCGGAGGAGGAGGAGCCGGATGCTGCCGCCGCCGCCGCGAGTACCACCACAAGTGTTGCAAAGCAACCAGAGCTTTCGGTGACTGTGGAGCAGGCGGTGGCCGGTGCAGCGGAGGAGGAGACGCTGTTGCTGCCGGGCTCAGAGGTGCTGGTCACCCTGGATCACATCATCGAGGATGCGCTGGTGGTGTCGTTCCGGTTCGGGGAGAAGCTCTTCTCTGGGGTCCTCATGGATCTCTCCAAAAGGTGAGCGAGACTGCCCGGCCGCGCCCTGTCGCTGTAGTCCTCCCTCTCCCACAAGACCTCCAGGCTTTTTGAAAAGAGATGCGTCGGCCGCTGCCCTCGTCACCCAGAGTGGCTTTGGACTCCTCTAACCTTCAGCTGCTGCTGCTGCTGCTGCTTTCTTTTTTTCCCCCCTGTAGTGTCTGCCGAGTCGAGGCCTTGATCGCCTCCTGGGCGGCTGCACAGAAAGGTGGGGCGAGCCATGAGGTGTAGGGCTTTATGGCTCCACCAAGGGGGCGCGAGTGGCCTGTCGCGAGTAGCCTCGTGGCCCAACTCCGGGCCAGGAAGGCCTCCCTTCCCCTTCCGATCTCAGTGACTGGTAGCCCTTACTAACTTTTTGTCCTTCGTTTAGTTTTTAGATTCCTTCTCCCCCAACTTTGGTTCTTCCTTAAGTGAAGAAGTGGATTGTAAAATCAGTGCTGGAAGGCCACCATCCATCTTACATGGACTGGATATACATTTTTCCCCGTGCCTCTCTGAGCTTGAGAGGATACTTGCATTTTGTATCTGTGGCAAGAAAAAAATGTCTGTTCTCACCAGACAGTATGGGTTTGTCCTACCTTGTTGCTGTAAATATTCGAGTGTACCTTCATTTGGTTATCCTTCCTTTCTAGTTTTACAGTTCTGCAGAAATGATCAGTTGCTATGCTAGGAGGAAAAAAAATTGAATGATAGAATGTCTCCTAATACAGGTACACACATTAGAAAGCTACTGTGTATATACCAGTGTTTCTCAACCTTGGCAACTTGAAGATGTGTGGCCTTCAACTCCCAGAATCCCCCAGCCAGCATGATGGCTGGCTAGGGAATTCTGGGAGTTGAAGTCCACACATCTTCAAGTTGCCAAGGTTGAGAAACACTGGTATATTGGCTTCTTCTTGCAGGCAGGATGAAAATTGCACTCTTGTATATTGCAAGGTAACTTGTTCTGGCACAAGCATTGCTTTTCCTGGGTTTGAGGAACTTGCATGAGAGAATTCTGTGAAATGCCCTTTAATTCAGTTCATCAGGTTGAAGTATATTTGTAAACACTCCCAGAATCACCTACATTATAGCTTTCTTTGGAAAAGATTTTTAATTTTAACATGCACACCCAACTGCATAAAGAAAATACATGGCACTGGAGGAAACAGTCTCATTTGTATTTTCCACAGTGTGCTTGATTAGGCAAAAACCAGTCATATGCATCCCTATGTAATAGGGCTCAGCCTGTTCCCTTATTTACAAAAAGGAACGGCCTTTGGCTAAGATGAATCTGAGGTCATATAGCAGGATTTCTGAGAACTTCAGCGTGAGTCAATCTTCCAGTTCTTAAGAAGATGAATACTGTCAATTTACACCATAAATTCTTTCGCATTTTTAATTCAATCTTGTGGGTTAAGTATTTCCAGGCACATTTTATAAATCTCTTCTTTCATACTTAAAAAATTTAAATCATGCAAAAGGAGCCTTGTAAGATACAAAAGGGCTTGGGAAGCCTGCAACTTAAAAAAATGGAAGGAGGAACTCTAGGAATTGAAAGATATGTGGCTGGGAACAGCAGCCTTTATAAATTGTAATACTGCAAATTAACACAGTGGTGAAGAGGATCACCAGCAAGGTGGATGGAATCAATTACAATGGTAATGGGTGCACTCTTGAGAGTCCTTAAGAGCCAGGTTGGGAACAGATTGTCCTGGAGAAGGTCTGTTTATGTGGTTGTTAACAGTCGACACTGACGATGGCATGTAATCAGTGTAGGGTGCATTGCTTGTTATAAGAGATGATTGAATTTTCCTTTGCAATACTATCCATGTGCATGGAATGTAAGGTGGGTGGTGGGTTGTTTTTTTTTTTTTTTTGGTAATAGATCCATGCTGCCTCTTCTAATGGCATTATCTGGTACCTTATCTCTCCTGAGCCTGCCCTGGAGGTCAGCCAGGTTTCTAAAGCAGTTTGGAGTGTGTCTGCAAGTAGAACTGATTCTTCTAGCAATGTTTATTTTTCTGGTGGGTGGGTATATTGGGCTGCAGCTTATCAACTCTAGAGTATGTAACTTGAGCAAAGTCATAAAACATTTCTGACCAATGTGCATACTAGAATTGTCCAATGGGCTATATAGAATTTTGATGTTGGTTACTGTCTGATACTGTATGAAGTATGGCCATTCTTACGGCCTTACTTATAAACAAATATAGGAAATATTATTTCTAGCTCCTTCAGAGTATATAGTAAGCAATTTATAAAATGTGATTGTACAATAATTATGCAACACATGCAGTTATAGGAAGGCTGGTTCTTGTAATGTTTGAGAGGGTGGTACAATGAGTTATGTTTCCAGTATACACATTTTCATAGTCCACAAGGTATTTAAAGAGTATATGATATAGAACTGATCATGTATTGCCATAGATCTCACCATATGTTTTTTTATGTTTTCCATGAGGAATATGCCACATAGTGCTAGCTTTCAAATTCTCAGGTCTGTCAGCCTATTGGTGCTGGTGGGAGGTATAGTGCAGCATTTGGAGAAGAGAAAATAAAGGCAGTGCTTATTCATAGCCATCTAGGACCTAATGTGCATGTGTTTTTCCCTTATATATAGATCTGGTAAAGTGTCTTACCTTACATTTTGTTTTGCAGGTATGATATCCGAACTATGCAGAACTGAAGTAGGGTTGGAAAACAGAGTAACATCAGTGCCCTTGGTTTAGCCGGATAAAGCAAAACTCAAACCCATGAAAGCAAAAAAACAAAAATTAAAACAGCAAGTTGTTTCTTATACCAAGCATGTATACTGCACACCCTTAAACAGTGTTGTATTAGTAGCTTGTCTACTCTCTGATGTTTTTGGAGCTATCATTTACCTTCTTCTTTAACAAAGTATAGGAAACTTTGCCTCTGCTCCTTGCGTAGCTGATAAGCCATTTGATATAGGTAGGAGGTGTTACTATTTCATTTACTTCAAAGAACGGTAGTGCTTTTTGAGCTTCCTCTGTTCTGTTATATATTAGATACATAGAGATATACACATACACTAAAGAGAGAGAGAGGGAGGATAAGAAAAGAAAAGGAAGGGTGCATGCAGCTTTTAATTTGGTTGGCAAATTTGAAGCATGTTGTGGCTTCAAAGTAAAAAACATAACATCCCATTAGCAAAATGCAGCCTGGAGAGATTGCTTCCTGCCCGTTCACCCTGCTCATTTTAGCTTTCTTATATTGTGCACTTATTTCAAAATGAAGTAGTGGGTGCAGTATTCTTAGAAATAAACAGTATGCTGGATGTTAGTATTTTGCTTTGTAATGTGCCAACTCCTTAAAATGAAAGAATGTTTTAAAATAGTGGCACAGAGAAATTGCTGATACTAAGGAAAGTGTTTATGTGTTGGTGCTTTTAGGTGCCATTATATTAAGTCTGGAAATGGTTCAGATATAATACAGTTTTGCAGCTCTGTACAGTTTTATAATAAAACATGACTAAAGCTTAACATTTCATTAAATGGATATGTTTACCTACAAATCAATAACATTATTGAGGTGATTGTAACAAGCACATTGTTATAGGGCATTATTGTTCAGTGCTAAGATAATGTTCCTTCATCTGACTACAGGTTCCTCATAAGCCACATTCATATCATAGGGCATAGTATTTAACCAAACATACTTGCTTATCATGGTAGGCTTTTTAAAGTTTGATATTTGAAGACTCCGCCTAACACCTATATAGTTTTTTAAATGATCTTGGCTTGTTCAGATTTGCAGTAAAAATGACTCTGCCTTTACATTTCAATTAGAAATGTAAAGATTTAGAATGAGTGGGTTTGAATTACCCTTCCTTTTTTGTCCATTGAGCTGGTTAGAATAATATGCAAGGGTATCTTTTGTGGCTATGCATATTAAGTAAACATTCTTGTGTGGAAGTCATAGTGAAGAGTTTGTGTTCAAAATGTATTTTAATGAAAAGGTGAAAAATCATTTGATGGCTGGGGAATGGCAATGTGCTTGGCAATGGAGCAGGACCATGTAACATGCATCTGTGAGGCCAGGGTTTTCTGATTTAATGTTTCCTGAGTTTTGAGGAAGAATTTTAAGTATTTCCTTTAAAAATTATGTTAAGTCATTTATAAACTCACACTGCAATTTTCATGAATTACTTGCCTCAAACTGACAAGAAATTTATGTTGTCAGTTTTTGACAATTGTAGATGCATTCAGGGATCTCAGGTTACAGAATTTTTATGTATTATTACTATGGTGATTAGGGCTAATATAATCAGTGAATGCTGTAACACTGTCTTTTTGTGCAAGACTTTTTGCCTACTTTGTCTCCTGCATATGGTTTATGTTCTCTTAAATCAGCTTGTGATGGAAAACAATCTCTGCATTATTCAGCCCAGCCTAACCATCTATGTCCAGCCAATTTTATATGAATATATATTTTGTAACACTATCATATAAGTAATTCTGATTTTTAGATAGTTAAGTCTAGATATCAGATTTTAATGACACAGTAAATCCTCAATTAAGAAGACTTCAAATGCAGTAGAAAAAGCTGTCTTGATATTGTATGCTTCGCATATGCATAGAATCCCATTTACCATTTTATGCATACGTACAATACATAAATATGCAAGTATAAAATCCCATTTGGATTTAACAGATATTCTGCTTTGACAGATACTTCCCTCATCCCAAGTCCTTTACGTGGATGGCTATTATATATAGTATGGAAGCATTACAGGCTTTCAAATCTGTATATCCATATTTTTTTCCCCAGCAGTAGCTATATATATACATATATATCCATCCATCCATGTATCAAGCTAGTATGTGTGTGATTTACCATATTAGGAAAGTACCGTGTGGTTGCTAGAATAACTCCATATTCTTTGAATTATATTACCTGTGTGGCTGTCCTTGTGTAATATCCCTCTCATCTCTCATGCTGCTCCTTAGTGGTCATCTGAAACTTTGGCTTTGTAAAGAGATTTTCTTGGGGCTGGAATTACTAGCAGGCCAAAAGATAACATAATTCAGGGTCACCATTTGATATAGGGAGGAAGTGTTAAAACACAACAAAATTCCTTAAATTTACTTTCCAAAGCCCCCTGTAAGCAGGCAGTTCATACTTCTAGCAAAGGCAATCTTATCTCTTTCTCACCATGTGAGAAGGAAGAAAGAGAGCAAAAAAGAAAAGAATGTCAAAGACAAATGGTGGCTGTGCTTACCATTTGCTTCAGCCCTCTTGCTGTTGATGTGTAATGAACGTCTGAACATGTTACTTCCCCAAAGGTGACCCTTAATAAAAATAAAGGTTGCCCACCTTACCTTAGAACATTGCCAGGGTAGCAGCCTGTCATGTGACTTGCATAACCAAATGTGAATAAGAATTCTCTGGCTAAGGCGATACTCTAACAGTGGTACCTTCACTTCTAGCAGTCCAGCTAAGAGGGTCAATGGTGAGGGAGGGTGGGAGTAATACTTTTCCATACCTGCGCTACAGTAGGCTTCCTTTCTCTCTTGAATGTTTGCAATTTTATATTATTGGAACTTTAAAGTGCTTGGCATTGTCTAGATTGTGCCCTGAGAGTTCAGTATATATTTTTAATTTGGATTACATCTCCCATCATCACTAACCTTGCTGGATTGGGCTGTTGGAAGTCTAAAATGTTTGGGATAGGGGAGACATTTTCAACATTGGTTTTGAAATGCTGAAAATCAGCAGAGCTTTCACATGGAAAAATGTATGACAAATTCAATAAGACTTTTTTCTAAGGAGTTACCAGTTACTAGTTATGACTAGGTTGCTGAAATATTTGCAAAATAATATTCAGTTTAACACACGTACATCATGTGCACAAGTTCAATGTTTAAAGCAAAACATTCATAGTACAGCAATAAATATTAAGTGACTTGGTTCTTTAAGTTCATAGTTCCATCAATGGGACTGTATAATAGGATGAGTAGCTTGGGAATATCTAATAATTGGCAGTCTCAGCTGAGCATCTCAGTACTTCTCTTATCCTGTAACATACGCTAGAGCATGGATTCCACTTCTCAGTAGCACCTTCCCTTTTTCATATTTCAAGACCCTCAGCTTCCCTATCTGTCCACAATTTTGCACATGCCCCAAAGTATACATCAGGCTTCAACTGCCCCTTCCATTTTTGCAGTGGTCTGCTGCCAATCTTACCATCATCCTGCCCAGCCCCAGTCTTCCTGCCACACACCTGTCAAGCTTTGCAACACCTCCCTTCCTCCCATTAGCCTGCCCAGTCTTCCCAGTCTGTTATATCTTCATTTGAAAATCACTGCCTTTTTAATGCTAAGTTTCCCAAAAATTTCATATCATCACAAAGCTCCCATGGAATGTCTTCATGTCCCCTCTCCAGCTGGTTTGGAAACTCCTATATAATGTTAGGGGAGAAACAAGTCATCTTGTTTTAAACATGTTGAGTGATACAAAGCTTTTAGGCAATACTCTCAAATAATTTTAAATTAGACGAACTAATTTTTATGCCAGTTACATAATTCTCCAGTGTAGGTATAAAATGTTGCTACTATCAAGCAGCACTTTGCTTAGTTATTTCAAGTCCATAAACTACAATTAAGGAAACCATTTATGATATGTGCTTTGTGTTCTTCACTAGAACTGACTATATTGATTTGAAAACAGATGAGAAGCCCACACATTTTGACTAGACTTTCATTATTAGTCATCTCAGTCATCAAGGTTGTTACAAGATAGAATGGAAAGAAGCAGTTCAGTTCTCATCAGGTTTTGTATATACAAGATGCAGCCAGAAAGAGTCTTGTGTATACTGGGCCTTGTATATGGGCTGCATGATCGTCTAGTGAATTGGCACTTTCTAATGAGAAGAGTAATTTCTTAGAATGAGAGCTTGCCTATCTCTATTGCTGTGCAGTGCACATCCCCAAAACACAGTCACAGTCCTCTGCCATTTGAATTCCCTTCCAGTTCATATGGGGTTTGGACAAGCAGATCAGGGTGTAAAGAGATATTTCAATCAAAGAAAATGTGAACATTGGTTTAAAAACAAAAGATTTAAATTTATTCAAGTCAAAGTTGGACAGTCCTCATTTGGTGTAGTAAAAACGCAGTTGAAACATGGAATGCCCATTAAATTCTAGTATATTATGGTATATTATATGAAGTTAACTGTGTGTTTCTCTCTTGTTAAGGTTTGGACCTCATGGAATTCCTGTGACTATATTTCCCAAACGGGAGTACAAGGATAAACCTGAAGCCATGCAGCTGCAAAGTAAATCATTCCAAGATGAGACACAAGTGAAATGTGAAGCTAACGGTGTAGTCACAGACTCTTCTCCCATCCAGCCATCAGAACCTAGCCTGGCTAAAAGCCTATGGACTTCCAAACCGCCTCCCCTTTTCCATGAGGGGGCGCCATACCCTCCTCCTTTGTTTATCAGGGACACATATAACCAATCAATACCTCAACCTCCACCTCGAAAAATTAAGCGGCCCAAGCGAAAATTGTACAGGGAGGAACCCACTTCTATTATGAATGCTATCAAACTACGACCCAGACAGGTCTTATGTGACAAATGTAAGAACAGTATTGTTGCAGAAAAGAAAGAAATTAAGAAGGGCAGCAATGCAAGTGACTCCTCAAGGTATGAGGACACTAGGAAACGAAGAAATGAGAGTGTAACTACTGTGAATAAAAAAATTAAAACTGATCATAAAGTTGATGGGAAAAGTCAGAATGAAAGCCACAAAAAGAATTCTGTGGTCAAAGTTGCGAATATTGTCCACAGCAGAAGCAGAGTAGTCAAAGTTCCCACTCAAGCAAATACATCAAAAACCCAATTAAATACTAAAAAAGTTCTCCAGAGCAAAAACATGGATCATGCAAAAGCTAGGGAAGTTTTGAAAATAGCCAAAGAAAAGGCACAAAAGAAACAGAGTGCAACTTCAACTTCCAAAAATGCACATTCAAAGGTCCACTTCACACGGCGTCTTCAGAACACCAGCTCAGGTTCCCTGCCTCCACGATTGCGTCTAAAACCACAAAGGTACCGAAATGAAGAAAATGACTCCTCTCTCAAGACGGGGCTGGAGAAATTGCAGAGTGGCAAGATGGCAGCTAAGCCCCAGTCTCGCTGCTCGTCTACCCGCTCAGCAGGTGAGGCCCCTTCAGAAAATCAGAGCCCCTCAGAAGGTCCTGAAGAGGCCAGCAATGAGGTTCAGGACACAAATGAAGTGCATGTACCTGTTGATCAGGATGAACAGCAGACCATGGGCAAGAGAGGCAGCAAAAGCAATATTACAGTTTACATGACCCTTAATAAAAAGAAATCTGACTCTTCCAGTGCATCAGTGTGTAGTAGTGATAGCACAGATGACTTGAAATCCACCAATTCTGAGTGTAGCACTACTGAAAGCTTTGATTTTCCTCCAGGCAGCATGCATGCACCTTCCTCCTCCTCCTCCTCCTCCTCCTCCTCCTCCTCTTTAAAGGAAGAGAAAAAGCTCAGTAATTCTTTGAAAATGAAAGTCTTTTCAAAAAATGTCTCTAAATGTGTCACACCAGATGGCAGGACCATATGTGTAGGAGACATTGTTTGGGCCAAGATATATGGCTTCCCATGGTGGCCAGCCCGTATTCTTACTATAACTGTGAGCCGAAAAGATAATGGCCTTTTAGTCCGACAGGAAGCTCGTATTTCATGGTTTGGGTCCCCAACAACATCTTTTCTTGCTCTTTCACAGCTCTCCCCTTTTTTAGAAAACTTTCAGTCGCGATTTAATAAGAAGAGAAAAGGTCTTTACCGCAAGGCCATTACAGAAGCAGCCAAAGCTGCTAAGCAGCTAACTCCTGAAGTTCGGGCCCTGCTGACACAGTTTGAAACATGAACAAAGTAAGGTAGGCAAGAAATGTGGAGGCTCCATGAAATGTCTCATCTAGTTAACTATTTGGAAGGACTTGGGCCAATTAGACACAAAAAAATGCACTCAGTTGGCTGCTTTTTATACTGAAATTTCCATTTGTAGCAATGTCTTGACTGAAAGTTAACCTTAACGAAATTGTACATGCAATCAGATTAACCTAAAGTGAGAGCTCAGTATTTTTCCAGAGAACTCTGTTTTTTTGTAAAAGTTAAAAGTTCCTTTGCCCACCCCATGCACAGGAGCCATAACCTCAGCTGAAGAGCAGTTCATTTGCAGGGAATTTTTACTAGTTTCTACCCGCTATATATACCATTTCAATGTGGAAAGGGGAGAGGGCAGGGGAGGGAAATTAATCCAAAAGATGGAATTTGCAGGCTTAACCTGGATGGTTCACCTAGGTCCTATCTCACTTGTAAACTTTTATTTCTGTGATTTTACCTAAACTACTTTTACTAGTGTAAGTGAGCCCAAAGAGTTCACCTATGCCTAAAAATGCTTTTGTTCCTGCTGGCCACTTTAATTCCTTTAGAAACCAGTCTAATTGGAAGTCTGGTAGACTTGTTTGATCATTAATAAATGAGTCTGTGGTCACTTCTTTTCAAATGCTCAAAATTATGCTATGCACCCATGGATAAACATACAAACTTCAGGTTTTGGCAAGTTTAAAAGAAAGCCAGTTGCTCACATCAGATCTGGACAGTCCTTCCATCTATGGGGTCAAGGGCTGTTAATGCTGCATTAGGTGTGAATTATATAACTTCCTGTTGGGGAGGGGAGGGTGCTCCTAGGACAGTTGTTCTGAGGGTTAGCTTGAGAATTTTGTGTTGTGTAAATAATTAGTCAGATTTTTTTTCCTGACTACTTGTTCTTAAATCCTTAGGATACGTCCTAGTAAATTACACTTTGTGAACTGTCAGATGTGTAATTGTTGCATTTGGATGTATCAAACTGCTTTTTTTTTTTAATATTTCCATTTAAGGTATCTGTTTGCAGGTCAGAAAATATGGAAAATGTAATTGTGTAATGCTCTGAAATGTACAAAAATGTAAATAAAATTGACTAAATCTAATTATTTGTGTGTGTTTCTCAAAAAGCCTTGAAAAATCAGGAAGTGAGGCTGGTCTGTTTATGCAGTGCTTAGGAGACATCCTGAAGGAAATAATTCTTTCTTGCTCAACATTAACTGACTTCATTAGCTGCTTATAAAATAGTGGTGCTCAAAATAACAAAAGTTCTAATTTTTATAAATTCAATTGTTTCAATAAATGTTTATCAGTAATTCTGCAAGAAGTACCTTCCTAGATGATATTTCCCGCCTGTGTTACTGAACGTTCTTGCTTTTAGATATTCTGCTTGTCTCATGCTCTGCACTGGGCAGTGAAATGGAGTTAATTCAGTTAGATAGCATGCTTCTGTGCAACAGACTCTGCTTTGTATTTAACTGTTATGAGAGGGCCTAACTTGATTGCCCAAAATTTACACCTGAGTTTTATGAGTAGACATTTTCTTTAAAAAAAAAAATCAGCTAAACAAAAATCAGGCTAACATATGGAGTCCAAAGAAATAATGAATAAAGGCTCTGTTGTGACTGATGCTAAGGTATGTTTCTCATTATAAACAAATGTTATTCAATTTTTCCAAAATGCTTAAGTTTTAAACTGGTTGCCATATAGCTATTTTACAATTATGCTTTAGAAAGTTTCTCCGCTTTCCTGAGGAACTCCATTTGACAATGCTCACAATCAGTTATTGTAAGTTTCCAAATTTATCGAGAAATAAACTTGTATTCAGTTAGCCATTGCTTTTTGAAATTAAAAAACACACAAAATGGCATGCAATCCTATTTCAGTCTTGTACTTTGTATTCTCTTTCCTGCAAACAGAAACCAATGTAGTATTTAAATGAGCAAAACATGCTATGTCTTTTTGAAAGGCAGGCTGTGCTCAGGATCATTTTTTAAAATACACTGTCAGTGCTTACCATAGATTTGAAAATGTAGCTTGGCTTAGGGTTGCTGTGGACAATCTGAAAGTTTGCTCTGAATTTGTAATGGGTGGACTAGCCCTCCAGACATGGTCAAAGTTGAACGTTAATACTAGCCTATGGAAGTGCTCTTTACAGATGCTTGCTCCTTCCACCTTGGAATTCTATTTCCAAACCAGTTGTTCTAATAAATTAAGAAACTAATTTAAAGTGGCTATTTATCTTCAAAATTAATGCTGTTTCCAGATCTATAGAACAGGAATGCATAATTTTTTCCAAGCCAAGGAATGGCCTTGAAAGTGGCACGCTGGTGGTGCGCTCCCAAGAATTAAGCTGGGACCAGGATAAACATTTGATTTTTTTTCATTTACACTGAAATTTAATTAAAGATAATGAATATGATTATTCCCTTAATTATTTAATCTTTTTTTTTTCTTTTTGCCACATTAAAAAAAAAACTTTGGAGGTCTCTGGATCATACCAAAGGCTTATAGGAGCCACATGTGGCTCTAGGTTGTGCATCTTTGCTATGGAAATGAAATTCTCTATTCTCTCAGATTACAGTCTGAGAAGTAATATATAACTTTACCAACATCAAGCAGGAACTTATTCTTATTTTCAATATTCTTTCATATATCTTGCTGCTTCAAGCTGGTGCCTTTTAAAAAGTTTGTTCTAAATGTGTTTGAATTCTGGAGTTTTTAATGGCATTCTGATGCCCTTGGCTGTGACTTCATGTCATTTTATGTCCTGTGAAAGTCTTTATTTATGTGGTTAAATTTTTAAACTCATGAATATCACACTGTTGCAAGGCATCAAGCTGATGGATGTGATTTATTCTGGATGATGTTTTTAGACTGGGAGGGAGAAGCAACTGTTGAAGCACCAAAATGAAATAAACACTGGCTTGGAGTTCCAGCCATTTGAGGAGAAAGTCCCTTTCTCATGCAGGAGTTCGGTAGAATATTGTGGATTTCCATTCAGCTACAGGGTCCCTAAATTGGGGTTAATCTCCCCTACCACCAGCTTTTCAGAGACTGAAGAAGCTGCAGAGGAGACTGATAGAAAGGGTAACACACAATTTTCATGAGCAGGTTCTTTGTATATAAACTCTCTCAGCTTTAAAGTACAAATTGATTACATCTTTTGATTAAATTTGGTATCAGGGACTACTGCAGCTTCTGTGAAGCCTTGTGGTTTGCATACTGTATTGGACAAATTGTTTAATGCAATTTCTTCTGCCATTTCAGCAATTTCTTTAATGGAAGAAATAGTGACCATGTTGTTGCATCTGTAGGAATGAGGCGAAACTCTAATTCCCTTCATACATAAGTATTTCACCTTACTGTGAGAATCTTATCACAATCCTACACAAGTTGTATGCTCACATTTTAGTGGAAATTAGTTGCATAGACTTGCTGCATTGGTTTGCTGAATTACAACTTCTATAGGGCTGTCGGGAGATTAAAGAGAAGCTTTTCATGAAACTTGTAATTGTTTGATCTATTCTGAGTCTGCATAGTTGTAGTGACTATAATCAAAGGTACACTAGCTTACTGCAGCAAAAGCAACAAATAATCTTGTACAACCTCAAAATCAGCCACTTATTATGGTATAAACTCTCAAACTATTGTTCATTTCATCTCATTTTTTAAAGATGACTATTTCATTTAAGTCCTGCTTTTTCTGTGAAAGCCCAAGACCAGGGTACAGTGGAGTTTTCCCTGATTTCATCCCCACAACAATAATCCTCTGAGGTAGGAGAGGCTCAGAGAGTCACCCAGTGAGCTTTATGTGTAAATAAAAATATAAATGTGTATAAATATAAATTATATATTTATATGTAACTCATGTTTAGTGTATGTATTATATACAATTTATATTTAAATAAGTGTATTTTTTCATACGTGCCTTTTACCCTTTTGTGTGTGTGTGTGTGTGTGTGTGTGTTTTCAAGTGGAAATTTGAGCCTGGCTTTCTCTGGGCCAAGTCCAGCATCATCCTACTTATGTCTTACTTGTGTCAGTAGGATGTGTTCAAGCTAAAAATGAAGAAAAGCATAGAGTGTATCCTGGCTCCAAGAAATCTCAACATCTTAGACATCTTGGCATTTTTCAGATCCAGCATAATTCCTCTCAGATGCTGCTGTTTAGCTAATCTATTGCCTCATAAGCGCACATAATATTTAGAGCAATCTTTAGAGTAAAAGTAACATTAGCACATAGAATGTGCATGATTCTTTGGATTATGACCTTAATAATTTGTCGATAGAAATGTTTTAATCAGGATTGCACTAGCGTGTTTATTTTAACAACCTCTTATTACATGTTAATCTCAGTAAATGAGTCCCATTGGAGCCTGATGATGGGTCAAAAGCATACTTGGGAAAGGTCAAGTGCATATCATTGAGAGGTGTCAAGCAGTTAAAATAATAATATACTAAATGAAATGAGAAATCTGCTAGTTCCAAGCTCAAAAGAAGGAAAAGGATAAATAGTCCAGAGCTTGTATCTAGATGAGCTGGCAGCGAATGAACAGATACTCCTGTGCAACTGGAAAGGCAGCAAGGAAGTACAATAAAATATGGAAAGTAATGGAATTACTCCAGTAGCTTGGAATGAGTTCATACATAAGTGTTCCATTCATGCCTTAATAGTAATCCAACTATGAATAATAAGTCAACATTAGATTGAATGAAATTGAGTAGTTTCAGGCTTTGTTTTAGTGACCACTGGATTAATTTGTCTAAATTTGCCTAATAAAAATGGCAAACAGCTTAGGAAAGGAGATAAAATGCAAGCTTTGAATTTATAATGGGAAAACACAAATACCTTAATGGTTAGGCAAGCAATTCATTTTGCCAATGATCTCTATAGAGGGGGATGTTCTAAGCTTTTGCATTGCCATCAGTCCAACAAGAATAAATTGCATGCCTTGCTGAACTATTATACAATATAACACACACTCATGTGCATTTTACACTCTTAGGTGTTTATATATGCACACACACACACCCAAACTGAGTTCCAGCCTTGGTGACAATTTTGTTATCAGGGGCGGATTTAAAGTTTTAATTAGACAAATATATGAAATATAAGGCTGCCCTTTAATCATACTAATTGTGGCAGCTATATCACCTTTAGGATCAAAAACATCTGAAAACAAGTGCTGGGGAACAGGAATGTGCTAGTGCCAGTTATATCTGGTTTGTAGATTTTGCATGGCCATGTGACTGGCCAGTGCAAGTACAGAACACTTGATAAGATAGGTCTTTGGTCTGATCCATCATGGCTCCTCTTATGCTATTCAACCACAGGGCTATACAAAGAACAGGTTTATTCATTCTTAAAGGCTGGAGCAACCCAAGATAAGGTCAAGCCAACTGCAATCCTGTATTCTCTCTCATGCATCTGTCACATGAGTTTCCTTTATGCTAGCCAAAGAATTACTAGTTTTTACAAAGGAAATACTTCTTTAAGTGATGAAGTGAATATCCATGAATCAAAGTTAAGGCAGATGGTACAAGAATACTAAAATGAGAGAGGCTGAAAAATAGGATGTTAAAAATTTGGAGGGATTAGACATCTGAAATCAGAATTCTTTGCAGTTTCTCCCCAATTAAGTAGGACTGACCCAATGGAGGCATCCTCATCAACATCATTCTGCCACTACTTATTGCAGAGTAAGATTCTTCTGAAATCTAGCCTGTATGAAGGCTCTTGTTTCTTTATATGGTATGGTCTTCTAATGTTCTAAGTTGCAGTTATGACTTTCCTTGTTTCCAATAGCTTCATTATCTAAAATCCTTTTGAGGGTAGTAGTTCCTAACAGTACTGTCTGAAATTTGGACACTCTAGTTTTTCAGAGTAGCCTTGTTGCTGTTCATTATTCCCAGCTGGCCTGGTTTGCAGGAGCCTACATTCATCATGGACAGTCTCCTGGAGTAGTTGGGAGTGGAACAAATATAACTGCTGCTCTTCCCACTTTGAGCAGCATGACGTGGTGCTGTAGTAAGGAACCTCTAGAATATAATGCCTCTGTCCTTGGTCATAGTACAGTGTACTACTCTGCCCGTAGTGCTAATGCCTGTTTTTCCTTCAAGTAAGACTCTTGGCAGACTTTGTCTTATATTGTGACTTTTTCTTTCCAGCTTATCCTTCCTTGCTTCCAGTGTCATTTTAGCTTAGATGGGTTATCTAATGTAGTGTGTTAGGGACTCTATTACTTGAGTCCAAAATACAGAAGAATATTAGCATTAGATGCAGGATTTCTATTGGTTACCTTAGGTTTTCCTGTTTTTGCATATAAAAGTTTAGGATTGCTCATATCAATGCAGGTGTTACAGTGACATCATGGCTAACCTTATAAATTCTGGTACATTTCCAAATTCAAAGCATACAACTGTATGGATGATGGCCTCCTAGTAGATCTTGTCATGAAGTGGACATACTGAACTACTTGTTTTTCAGCTGAAACTTTAATTTATGAACAAGATCTTTCAGGACAAATCTACATTCTAGATGTATTAGAGGACTCTGGATTATCAGAATAATTTTCTCCATATCTTTTTCCACATGATTTTATATATCTCTTACTCAATCTTTTTCTAGATTGAAAAGAATTAAGTTTTATATATTCTTTATAGGGAAGATGTTACAATGGTCCCCCCCCCCATTTTGGTAGCTGCTCTTTTCACCTTTTCTATAATATTACCAATAATTTCCAACAGAATTCACCACCCTCATGGCAGTCATAAACTGAGTCAGCACGTTTATGAAAGCGTCCCCATCACATTCGCTCAGATCCCACAGATGGAGTTTCCACCCAAATATGCACTACCTCACTTTTTAATAAGGATTTTTCCTCCAATTTAGAGAAATCCTTTTGAGACTTTTCATCATCCTATTAAATGCTTTTTAACTTCAGATAATTTAAAAAGCATAATCTCCAATGACCTTGTTTATATATCTCCATTGGGAGAACTGAACATTTATTCTTATTTATTGTGTTCTGTTCTTCAGGCTTTTGTCAATCCAAGATTCATCCTTTCATGTCATGACCATAAGTATCAGGGGATGGAGGGAATGCCACATGCATTATATCACATAATTATACAAATTATGACATCTGCCTCTTTTGCATGATAGCATAACATGCAACACTAGTTGGCCCAAATGCTACGGTCATGATTACTATAATTTAACAGACTCCGACATGGATTAGAGACTTTGTTAAAAGCTTTTTGGAAGTCTATCAGAAAATAGACAATACGATGCGATGAGCACCAAGCATCATAATAATTTGCATCCATGCCTTTGAGCCCCACTGGGATAGTAGAGAGCATACTAGGGATTCAACTCACCTTCTAGCAAAGTATTTTGTAAGTAGCCATACCCACCATGGCTGCCATTTGATGGATAAGCAAGTCTCCATGAGGCTATTTTGAGTGCATGCCTAACACATGCTCTCAAATTCAAGTGTGCTCCCCCCACACACACATAAATAAGTTGTATATTCCTGACCTAAACCCACATTTACCATATCTCTTTCCTTCCCGTTTGTGAGATGTTAGTGGGATAAAACTTACCTTTTTATAGACAATTTAGATTTTTCTTGTTCTTCCACCAATCCCTCAGACTAGATATTAACCTAATTTATCTGTAATTTCCTAGCATTATGCTGACCATTTTCCCAGTTGTTTTAATACAACGATCAATCTAGGGTAATACCACTTATTTTTATTTTAAAAATCAACCATTTTACACTTGAATTAAGAACTCTTACACAGATACCATCGATCTAGCTTTTGGGGGGATAATAGTCTGGATCTAGCTTTGGGCATAATAATCAATGATGTCTATTAGAATATAATCCCTGGTCACAAATTTTTGCCTTAATTCCGCAAATTGCTTTCCTAAAAATCAGTTTAGACATGAGTATCTGCTTTACTAATTCTGTAATAGACAACCACAAAGATTATATTCAGCTTTTCTGCAATTGCCTTATTCTTCTTTAATATTCTTTTAACATCCATGTGGCCAAATAGTCTTAATTTCCTCAGGTTACCTCCCTGATATATTTAAATGTTTTTGTCATTGATTGTCCATCTTAATATGATGAGTTACACTGTATAGCCCTCAAAATTTATTTTTAGAAAAAAATATTTTTAAAAAATCGTTGAGTCTTACCAAACATACTTCTCTTGACTTCTGATTTAAGCATCTGATATTTTTCATTTTTAACTGTATTTTTACCAAATCCAATTATATGAGAACTTTTCTTTTATCTTATATCACTGATGGTATGCCTCAGAAATGAGACCTGATGCAATTTAGTATTTTAAACTTGTACAATAAGTTAGAAGGTTACTTGTACTATGAACTCACTAGATGATCTTCAAAGCACACTCATCTCCACTTTTCCATGGAGTATGGGAATACTGACTAGTCTTAGGGAATTATTTTATACAGATTATAAAATATAAAAGAAAGGAAAAATGTTGGTAAGGACACATTGTGTTAACTTTCATATTGAGTTTAAATTACTACAATACTGATCCAGTGGAATAAGCTCATATCCATTTAAAAAAAATCTGTTCTATAATAATAGCATGAGCATGTGGAAATAACTTACACTTATTAATTCATACTTTTTCTTTTTCAGCTCAGAGACATTAATCATCTGCTGTATTTATGGAATTCTCTTGCACTGGCATGAAGACCATCAGCTAACCAGAAATTACATACATCTAAAATGCCACTTTCCTCTGAAATCCAGCACATGGTGTACACTGAGATACTTTTTTAAAAAAAGAATTGTACCCCTTTTCCAGGAAACCTATGTATTGTAAATTTAATTTCAAATCTAAAATGTTGACAATATTTTATAAACTATTTTTGCAATAAATAAGGCATGAGCCAAGAAGCCTATTCAACACGAACACGGAAGGAACCACTTGAAGTATCAGAATGAAGAATCACAAAGCGTACTCTCGCTCTTCAAATGTGATTGTCTGAATGGGCACCGGCAACTGATCAAGACATCTGGAAAGTTGGCTGTAAAGTTCTGAACGTTTACTTTTGTTCTTAGTGTGTTACGTTTTACATCTTAACGAACATTAGTCTTTAGTGCAGGTGTTAGCAGAGCTGTAACCCTTTACTGGAAGCATGTCCAAAGTCAGCTGTGTTAATAAGTACTGACATGTGTTTTGAGACTAAGGTTTCCATAAAGAAAGCAGCAAGGGCAAGAATAAATAACTCTGTTACCTTGAGTAACTATAGCAAAGACCATCCCTTTTGGAAATAGTTTGATGGTTAGAATAGAGGGTCATTTTTAAAATGAGCAGTGAAAGAGGCTGCATCACAGTGTACAGTTCTCGTATCTGCTTGTGTTCATCTAGCAGCATCTGCCACAAAGAACAGGTACTGTTAAGATGGAATAGTAATTGGTATCCAAAGTCATGGCATTTCTTTTTCTAGCACAGTGATGTATTGCACATTAAGTTAGTCATAACTAACATGTTCCGCTGAGACTTCCTTAGCATTTTAAGACTAGCTGGTTTACACAGATTCCTATCCTCAAATCTTTTCTCAACAGGACTTGAGTTTTTAACGGCAATATGGTTTCACATTTTAATGAGAATAGGTTATGCCAAATTTTCAGAGATTACACTGACAGCCTAAAAGAATTACTTGTTCAGTCTTTTTAATTTGCTTCTCATTCTGAAAGTATGCAAACACGTGCATCAGCAGCCAGATTCACCAGTTAGCTTGACAAACTGATGTCAAAATAAATGCACAATATAAAGATTGATAGAATTAAAGTTTTCATGTCAATACAAGGATGCCTTCTAATACATAGATTTCAGTCTTGTAGGATATTAAAATACATTAATAAGAAAAAACTTTTCTAAAATTCCGTATTCCAGCAAATACAGCAAGTGTCCAATTCATATTTTCCAAGTTGCAATCATAACTTTCCCTCTTTATTTTATTTAGCAACAGATTTATATTTTAAATAGCATTTGAAACAAGGGAAAGATGTTTATTACAATACAAGTCTATATTAAAAGATTTAATAATTGTCTGTGAAAACATTTTTAAAAGGTATTTATAAAGATTCCAGAGCACCTACTTAAAAAAAAAAGCCCTACATAACAATGATTAATAGTAATTTCAACTGTGCCACTTTTCATAAGAAATTTGGTGACTTTTAAAGGTTTTGCAGTACTCTTTTCACTGATGTTAAAGCAAGAGAGAAATGGTGTAGGCTTTTTTCATTCAAAAACGTTATTAGAAACTAGCTTGAAGAAGGTTAAAAGATACTGCAATGAGATAATGCATTGTCGTCTGCTCTGGAGGGAAAAATGCTGCTTTTTTAAAAGCATCTTTTTAATTTAAAAGGGTGTGTTTTCACCTGAAAAGTTGCATAAATCTTGAGGGGTCACCATGGCACAAAGTGATAGTTTCTACTCAGGAAAATGGTATCAAGCTATACAAACAAGGGTACATATTTTGATTGATTATGGGCGGAGCCAATAGTGCCTGCATAGACAACATCCCACTGTTAGCCAGAGCTCTGGTTTTTTTTCTTCAAGAGCACTGATTCTGCCTATTTTACAACCATAATTCAGTATGATGTAGAGAAGCCAGAGTCTACCTTATATGTAGAAAAGAAAGAGGCTAAGTCTGAAAAAGAGACAAGATGGCTACTTTATATTGTTCATGAAGAATTGAATTGTAACCACCTCGTTTTTCATTTTGAAATGATGCTGTCAGGGAAAATTTTAGTGGTAGAAGTAATGTATTGCTTTTCACTTTTTTCTTTAGTTGCTTAATATTTAAGCTTTGCTCCATGTTACCTTTTATGTCCGTATATTATGTCACTATGCCTCCTTTATTTGGTAGACTTGAATAAGGGAAAAAAAATATTCAACTTTTACAGTTTTGCCTGAAGTTAAATATTCAAGAATTGTAGTGTACCATATTTTCAAATAAAGCCTTGATTTGTTTTCTCTGCACTTTTAAAAAGTTATCCCAAGCAGTGTTGCCATCTTTTCATCTGTTTGCTTCTTTGACAGTAAAAAGATTAATGAATGAAAGTGGTGATATTAAACAGAGTTACCTAACAGCAATTCCCACAGGAGACAACAGATTTCTAAACAGAGTAGATTACAGCACTTCCAGAGTTTATAATTTTGCAGAACAGGTAGGGGGAGGGAATATTCCCTCCACTGCCACCAAACCTAGTGAAATCCTTGCAGCAGGAGAACACAACATGCCTCCCCTTACTTTTTAAATAGATGGTATTATTTCCCTCATTATCCTCCAGTCCAGTCTGCTTACAATTGTAATTTGATTTGTTCCAGGGTTAAGTGGTTAAGCCATTTAATGGGCTAGATACCTTGAAAACTTTGGTGAAACAGACACTGTAGATTGGGATTGGAAGACACTCAGAAACAATCACATTGACAATCCAGGTGGTCTCCTGTTGCCAAGCTGCGGGAAATTACTCAAGTGCCCATCTGGATCCGTAAAGCATTGGGACAGGCCATATCACTGCACTTGTTCACCCCACAGAGGTCACAGGCCACAGTCTATGTTATCTTGGCCAGGAAGTAATCTGATCAGAGCAAAAAACTAAATGTTATAAGTCTCCATATGCAGATCACTAAACAACTCTGAGGCAAACATAAACTCAAGCATACAACTGCCTGAATGTGCCAGGCCTGAGATCACAAGGGACAAGGCCACTGTTGCATGGAAGTCATGTACTCCCAAATCTGTCCAGACCCAACACCCAAGACATGTTAGCTGAGGTTGCCCACCATCGATAGGCAAAGTAACACCAATGCCAGCAACAAGATCAGGTCCAGAAACCAGAGAAGGATCACACTGGTCAGCAGAACAGCCAATATACCAGCAGGATCCTTAATTTGTTCCTATAGCTCAATATAATAAATTGGCACTTAATTTGCTCACCACATTTTTATAGATCAGTGCCACCAACTCCCTTCCTGACCCTGGAATTGAGGTTGATGAACAACATGAAACACACTACAGTAGGATGAATCTCCAAGAGGGCAACGTTGGTACCCTTGCCCAGACAGGTCCCAGTAATACACATGAGATCTGCCTGTTCATCCTCCATCAAGTTATAGATAAGCACAGCCTTATTAAAGATGGCTCTCACATTTACCATCATCAACTTGAGGCCAAGAACACTAAAAATCCAGCTACCAAAACTCAGATTTGGGGCCACTGTGCCAGAAGTGGAGATTTCTAGCAAGCCCCCGTCCCTTGGAATGGCAAACCTGGCATCCCCCATCATATCTTCCTCAACCTGTCACTACCAGGATCACATCACTCTCTCCACTACTAACTTCTATTCCCTCAATCCAAGGCCACCAACTAATTTCAATCACCCTACTCAAACAATCCACTAGTCACACATGGAGATCAGTAATCTGGAGCACTACTCATACTGACTCTGTGCCCAATTCACTACTTTTTCTCACCATCTAACATCACTTGGGAATCTCCAAATCCCAGATCACCCACTCACTACTGCCCTGAGAAAATCCCCCCTCCATCTACAATCTCACTCAGGTGGGGCCACCTCTCCACTCACACCCAGTGAACTTCCCTATGTGTATACAAAGGCAGCACACTTAGAGAGAACTCTTCGCTCAGAAATATGGTGTAAGTGAAAATCAGAGGCATCACCATTGCCTTAAGTACCAAGAGACTTAGGCTTCTAAGGGTTTATCCACAAATGTTCAGCACCTTGGCCAGACAACATACCTCCCTTTGTACTGAGTCCCAAACTGTGAAGGCAGTATTCCATGTTGTGGCTTTCTGGCCAACACAGGGAGAAATAATAGGGATTTCCGCTTCCAACTCCACCACCCTCTACCCGGCACACAGTACCATATACTAACGTGCTGTTGATGTTCTCAATCTCCTTCTTCTACATTGTTGCTTATACCAGACTGATGAACAAACCTTAAACTTCCTTTCCAACTGCCAACTCATCAAAACACCCTCTGTCAGTATCTCCAACCACTAGTAATTACAAGTCTGCTCATAATGAGCCTCTCAGGCACTTCCCACCTCCAGTCCTGTCTTTGTTTCTCCTATCAGGAGAATTTAAAACAGGTGTGTGACAGCTACCACGTCACACTCACCACATCTCTCAGGCTATACCAACATATCTGCTCCTGTATATTTCCACAATGGGCAGTCAAATTATTACCTTTCCAGATCTCACACCAATCCACCAATCCAATATGAAGCAGGTCAACTGAGAATATTTGCAAATTCCAGCATAGCCAGCAGAACTCAGTGACAGGGAAATGTCACTGTAGATGTAAAACAGCTCCCAGTTATAATCTCTCAGTCATACTCCATTCATTGACCTATCCTAACTTTCAGCTCCTTCCAAACTTTCTCCTAGCACTCTCTCAATTTAACGGATTAATTTTTTCCAACCACATAACCAAAAATTAAACCAATTAAACCAAAACTACACCACCTCTCACTAATTACATGGCATACTATAAATGTCATCTTGAACAACAATGTATGTATAAGTTTAGGCAACTCTAATCAAAATGTATATTTCAATTAATCCCTGTATGAATAGAAGCTAGCACAACCTCTACATGATAAAGTTAAACATACTGCATTATCTTTTCATAAATGTAAACGTTATTTCCAGATTCAAATAAGGTAACAGTGAATGCAGCAAGTGCAAAGTCTTATTTTAAAACCACTCCTTTGGCAGAAATAACTTCCATATGCTTCTGTAGCCAGCTAATAGTCTTTCTATTCTAGCTTTTGGCATTTTTTCCCACTCTTTCTTGAAGCTTACAACTGAAAATAATTCTTAGATCTCCTTGTATGCGCTTCAACTGAGATCTCACAGATGTTCCACTTTCAAGTCTGGAGACAGTTACAGGTGATCATCCTGTGCAATTATCCAGCTTTTCAAATTCAATTCTTTCACTAACCAAGGACATTAGTTTCTAGGTATCTTGGTATTTGATTTAATCCATTCTTCTACTCACAAAATGTTTCCTCTGCCAGTGGTTGCCCCATAAACCCAAAGCATAATAGAGCCACCCTGTGCTTAACATTCAGAAAGGTATTTTCTTTTCTTTAAATGTTTTCTTCAAATTTTCTTTTTTCTCCAAATATATCTTGTCTGGTTGTGGCCAAAAAGTTCAATTTTTGTTTCATCATCCCAAAACACTTTTTTCCAAAATGTTTTAGGCTTATCAAGGATTTCTTTTGCAAACTTCAGTCAATTACTTTTGAGATGAGGTTAAAGAAAAGGTTTCCTTCTGCCAACTCTCCCATGCAAATCACTGTTGTATAAGCGACTGTTTGTGAACCATGAAGTACTTATTAGAAAGAAAGATAAACATTTTAGAATGACCTACAATTCCCAGACATGAATATTAGTGAAAATCGTGGGGAGATCTCAGAGAAGTAGTGTGTGGAAAAAGACTCAATGATCTTTTGAACTAAAAGAGTTCTACGAGGAAGAAGTTCTCTTAGTTAAGCTACAGGAAATATTTGGAAGCTGTTATTCCTCCCAAAGTACTAACAGAAAGGATGTCCAAATGCTTGCATGTGCCACATTCACTGTTTTCTTACTCTGAATCTGTAACAACTCCACATAAATACTAAATACGCATTAAAGTTTGCAAAAAGATGTTTTACCATGTAGAATTTCTGTCAGTTTCACAGAATCACTGACAGATCCAATGAAACATACAATTTGATCAAAGATGCCTAAATTGTTGTTTACAACTCTATATGATAGCCAAATTGTTTCTTTCAGATTTAAAAATCTATGAATTGACAAACAATTGCAGGAATTGATATAGGAAGAACTCAGAAACGAATATACAGTATTTTCTTTTTTTTATCAAAACAGTCTATCCAGAAGTCTTACTGAAATGAAGGCTGCATAGTAACAATGTTTGGACACTACTAGCTAATAATGGTGCTTGGTACAAATTATACAGTTGTATTCTATTACTTAAAGGCAAAACCAAATACAATAAAGGCACATTTAAACATTTTAATACACTTTTTTATGATACTGACAGAGATTACAACAAGCTGCCTATACATCTTCTGCAAGAAAAGATGTATAGATTTTGCTGAGACCAAACCAGTAAAGCCCAAAGGCTTAGAAGGCATGTCTAAGTCAGGGATAGGCAGCTTTCTTTACAACCAGAGAGTACTGCAAATAAATTACACACATTTTTGGTGATCAAGAGTTGGAATCATTTTACCAGATGCCCCCTCACTTTTTGGATTTTCAAAAAAAATAAAATAAAATAGATCTATTTAAAAGCCTATTGATGTGTCTTCTAAAAAAAAACTTGGCATAAGATCACGGGGGGTGGGGAGCTTGGAGTACCCAATGCAAGTATGCAGGTGCTAATAACCGCCTTCCCTCATCTAAGTGAATTCATGCTATTATGCAACATTCATCCAACATTGAAAAGGCTACTTGAATAAAAAGGAAACAAAATGCAGGCACCAGTACCATTAATGATTTATTATCAGTAAGGTAAAAGTATATTCTCTGCATAGAGAAACACTTCTCTATCCTTCAAAGAGACCTGCAAACTTCACAAATGATGAAACAACTGTACTACGGCTACAGGTTTAGTTGCACTAAAATTGTTCTAATTTGCAAAGCTAACCCCCATCCCACCTCAGAAGGAAGATGCAGAGTGCCCAAAGTGCATGAAACATCACTGCGAAGGTCTAACTGTCCTCTTCTGCCCAACTCTTTTGAAAGAATCTCACACACACACACACACACACACACACACACAAAATGCATAGGTCTCAGTTCAAATCCTCCCATTTTAAAGAATGGTGTTATGCATTAAATGTTTACTCATCCTTTTTGCATTCACTGAAACCACATCACCATTAAGCTTCAAAGCCCAACATTTTGCCACATGCAGTTTGGGCTAGTGTTATCGGTTGTTGTTATTTGGATTTTGAACAAAGTTGATAGAGTATGAGCCAGTTGATGAATCTTGCTTCACTTGGAAGTTCTCCGTTGATAGGCCAAAAGGACGGAGAACCAGGTTCCCAAGGTCCTTCAGCTTGCCTGCAATACATATACATAAAAAAGATATATCTCCAACTACATTAAAAAAGTATACAGGTTCTCAGTAATGGAAGAAATGTCTTATGGCACTGATACTATACAGAATGAGAAAGTCTTAAAAGGTCTGTAAGAACTCTATTCAAGAAATGCCAACATAAGCAGGATGGTATTCTTTATATCATCCACCTCCAATGGTAGATGGTCATTTTAAAACCAATGGAAAAGATGCTACATATCTGAAATTTGCCCCACCATTATGCACTACATGCAGTTTTTCCCCTTTGAAAGCACAGCTGTACTAGTACAACTCCCATGGTTTGAAAGGCCCATAGCAGGTTTTTGACATGAAGGCCCCAACAGATCAGTGGTAAACAAAACACCTGTTTTCAACCTGAAAGACTCTGCAAATCGTACTTTGTCTTTTTACCCCAGGTATTTACAGCTAATCTGTTTATCCTCAGTTCTAGAACTCCTTAGTTAACATTTTTTTTAAAAAGGGGTGGAAAGAACCATGGTATCCTCTAAAATAGTACTGTAATTGACATTACAAAGTACATGAAGAATTGAAACTGGGAGCAGCCCAAATTAAGCCTGCCTTAAAACCATGAAGAACTAAAATGAAACTAAGAGTGTGGGTGGATGATAAGAGGGCAAAGTCTGGGCTGGATAAGCCTTCTCTTTGCCCAAAACAAACAATTCAAGTTTGTATAAACTGAAATCAGCTATCCAGAGAGTAAGGCTAAATTATTGTAGACAAGCACAGAACTAGCACAAAACTCTGCTCTATTATTTTGGAAAAATACTTTAAATATCAGTTTCACTATTATTTAACCATTGTTTAAATGGTTAACTGTTTTCGGTTTTTATTTTAATTGTGAGCCGCCTAGAGTCACCCTCCGGGGGAGATGGGCAGCATATAAATTTAATAAATAAATAAAATAAGAACATTTTTTAAAGTAAAACCCAGCTAAAATTACAACATCACCACCAGTAAGTTTTCAATTTCAGACAAAAACATTGTTCTGTCTAGTTTTGAACCATCCACAAATGCCTTGAAGAACTGCATGCAGGACTATAAGATTCAGGATTATATTCAGACAGGCACCTGTCCCTTCTGAAGTGCTGCAAATACCGAAGCAAAAGCCAGCTTCTAATGAAAAGGAATTGGGCACGGAAAGGAATTGGATGTGTTTCCATCTGCTGACCTTTCAACATATTATCAACTCCCTACAGGTACTCCAGAGTGAAATGACCTTTTGCACTTCCCAGAGTCTTTTGGGAAGAGTAGGTGGCAGTAAGTAAGTAAATAATAATAAT